AGTCGAACCGTGACAGTGCAGAATGGGAGCTTGACACGCTAACCACTCAGCCACATTGCCACGAGTGCCTTTGGGTCACCGGGCAAATGTGAATTTCAAAGAAGGCCAGGCCTTTTTGCCATATAATATTCTTTGGTGGGATTGACTGCAGTCCACACTGGATAAGAACAACTTTTGGGAAAGCAAGGCTATGTGAAATTCAATGAAAACGTTAGCTCTACTCATGTCATTGTGGGAAAATTCTTCTACCAATCCTTCATCACCTTAAGCGAAATTGGGTGAATACATCTCATATTACTGATTTACTGGCAGTCTCTAAACAATACTTAAATGCGAAAAATAAAGTAACGTAGTCAATTGTTATAGCAAATATACGTTTACTTCATCGACAATCCGATTAAAGAATATGATATGGCAAAAAGGCCTAGCCTTCCTTGAAATTCACATTTGCCCTGTGATCTAAAGGCACTCGTGGCAATGTGGCCAAGTGATTAGCGTATCAAGCTCCCATTCTGCGCTGTCACGGTTCGACTCCCGCTGAGGGTGTTGATAAGAGCGATGCGAGGCCGAAACTGTAGTCCTCCCTGGATGGTAACAACTTTTGGGAAAGCAAAGCTATGTGAAATTTAATGGAAACGTCAGCTCTACTCATATCATTGTAGGGAATTTCTTTTACCAGTCCTTCATCACCTTAAATGAAATTGGGTGAATACATCTCATATTACTGATTTACTGGTAGTCTTGAAACAATACTTAAAGGAGATCATTTAGCCAAAGTTAAGCAAACTGAGACCTTATCTCGTGTCATAATTTTGTTATCATGCCTTCTTCATAAAACGATAGGCGAATTAGTGAGAAAGTGGGGAATAATAACAGTGTTCAAAGAAACCCTTACACTTTATTCTGTTACGCCTTTGAGATAATTATAGTTACATTATTAAACTGTAAGCTTACATTTTTTATCGTCTGGACTTTTATTTGAATCCATATTTATGGTTGCCTCACGATTAACAGTACGGCGCCCGAAATTCGTTCTTCTAAATGAACTGCACAATGTCTCGGCAGCAACCTCCATGGCTTCAGGATGCACAGCTGAAGGAGTTGGTGGAGTGCCCCGATGACGCCAACTCGGAAGTGCAGGCCAACAATCATTGGAAAAGGATTCGACAAATGAACCCTCTCTGGTATTTCTGCATCC